GGTAGTGATCTGATTTCTAAAATTAATGATGATTAATTCCAAGAAATGCCAGGAAGGACCTTGTCAGGAAGAATATAGAAGGTGGTGTTCCAATGACCTGTAGGAATAGGCTCCATTGTTCCCATTGCATAATTAATTATTGATTTGTCTTGCTAACAATTTAATAATTACTCTATTAGACTCAATTCTGACTCAGGAAAAAAAACCTAGTTATTGATGCTATAGCAATAAGATACCCTGAGGGAAAATGAACATGTCATTTTAAAAAATGTAATGGATGTGAAAGCATCGTGTTCAACTGTAAAACACTTCAAACATACTCTAATATGTAAGGCTTTATTATTTATATGTAGCACCTATATTGTAGTATATCATCAAGAATGCTGAACTTGGAGCAAGAAGATCTACATCCTCGCTCTATATAGAAAGAATTCAATTTAATTCAGTGAATATTTTTTAATATTAACTATGTGGCAGATACAGATCTTGCCTTGAAGTAATGGGAGTACAAATGCTATTGGTTGTATGTGAGAAATTCTAGGTAAAAAGACAAGTGGTAGAGGACTGAAAATGGATAAATAGTTCCTCTACTTTCAATATGTGGAGAAATATATTCATATTGTAGAAACAATTTGATGTTAATCTCTTAATTTCTAGAACAGAATATTATACATGGTTTGTGAGTCTTGAGTTAAGGAGATGTGATCACTAAGAATTAGAAAGGATTTTTTGAGAATGTTAGTAGGTTAAATCTTATTTCTCTTTTCTGAAGGACCAGTAGGCCTGAAGAATAGCATTTATATAGAACATCTATATCCCATTTTTTATGATACCCTGTGTACAAAATGTTGAAATGGAAACTGAATGATAATAAGAGTTTAGCAAGGTTTTTAGCCAGCTCAATAAGCATGTGTAACACATGTTCATGGTTCATCCCACAGCTTGTGAAGTTCAAACTCTCCTTCTAGGAATGGTTACTTCTCTCTTAACTCTTGATTCCATAGATACTATTCCTGGGCTGTCCCATATCTATCCCCTGTGAAATTCAATATCACTTCAAGTTGTCTGCCTCAAAACATTCACTCTTACAAAGCATTTATGAGGAATATAGATGTTTACTAATGATTTTTATAGAGAAGAATGAGAAGATAGTTAATTCCAGTAACAAACATAACTTTAATGGTCATGTTAGGCATTAATGACTTAAAAATATCAGTTGGGTTCTCCCAACTTTGGAGTTTTACTGGTTTCTCAAGTTGGCACAGCCAATCCCCATTTTTCTGGCTCCTTATATCTACTTTCTCCATATCTTTCCCCTTTCTCTTTTATTCTCACTCTTGCAAAAGTAAAATGCTAGGCTAGGGTTCCCAGTTATTAAATCAAATACTACTTGTTTCTGTGAAGGTATTTTGTACATGTTATGACAGTCCATAAGAAGGTGACTTTAGGTAAGAGAGATTATTCCAAATAATCTGATTGGCCTGATTCAATTAGTTGAGGGGCTTTAAGGATGAACCTGGGGTTCCCCTGAGGAAGAAAACTTCCACCTGTGAACAGAGGCTTGAACTCCTAAATTGAGAGTTCTAGCCTGCCCTTCTTGATAAACTATGCAGTGGATTTTGGACTTGCCCAGCTAGCCCTCACAATCACGTAAGCCAATGCCTTGGAAAAAATCCATTAACATATATCTCCTGTTGGTTCTTTTTTTTTCTTCTTTTTTTTCTGGTTGAACCCTGACTGAGGTACTGGCTTAGTACTTTAGGTGAGAAAATATTTCAATTTGCTCTGAGTTTATTATGGGCTATCACTACAAATGATGCCCAAAACAACTAACAGAATCTTAGAAACACTATGCACAAGTGTTCAGTAAGGTAAGGCAGCAGCTCCATGGCACTCTGTGTGGGTAGTCTATATTAGGATAATTATGCCTAGCTTCAACGGCCATAATTTACCACAAACATGGACTACCCTTTAAGATCACTGATAGCAAGCGATTTTGGTTTAATCCAAGTTAAGAACTTCACAAGAAAGTGATGTATAAAATAATGCCACAAGCTGCCTTGTATGATATAGTAAGCTTAGTCACAGGTATTTAAGTAGGAGCTGGTATCATCTGCCAGGAATACCTGATGAAAGATATGAGGTTATATGACCTGAAAAGTTCCCTAATTAATTCTAAAATTCTGCAATTTTACTTTTACTAACTATGCTTCTATTGCATACCACTAACATTCCTTCATACTTTTAGTTCATGCCATCTCATTTCTTTTGTCTGGAAAACCTGGTATGTTGGATGTCTTGTGATTCCCTCTCTAGATCCACTTCATCCTGCTCTGTGCCCTGGAACACTAGCCCAGACAGACTGCATCATCAATGGATTCCCTTCCCCTCCAGCATCTGGTTAGGTTTGGCAGAAATGTACCAGCAGGTGGGATGGAGAGTGAGGTAGGAGTATTTTATTCCCTAGCTCCCCATTCAGAGTGGCTGCAGGCTGGCTTTGTTCCTTAACCTAAGGTCATAGTTGTGTCAGAGATAATTATACCTCTTGATATCTTTCTTAGCATTCCAGTAGCCACTACTGCCCTGTGACTCTTCAGGCTTAGGGTGGTAATGCCATTGCTGTTCCAACCTGGCAAGTACTTTGGTTTTCCTTCATCCTGTCTGTACCTTTATAAATAGTCTCTTTATTAAAATTTCTCAAATAACTCAGTTTAAACATGCTATTTGTTTCCTGTCAAAACCCAGCCTGATGCTTAGAGTAACACATGTGTCAACAACTTTATATCACATCTAGATCCAACCCTTCAACTGAGCAGTGAACCAGTCTTTTGGTTATAAATATGGAGAAAAGTACTCTTAAAGTGTTACTATTTTTTAAAAAAATTAAATCTTTGTTGAAGCAAGACTCTCATAATAAGTAGAGACTAAGATCAGTAAGAATGCTTCCAGGTCCAACACTAATCTCCCTCTCCTCTGCAATCTCTTGGTTCTCAATTTCTATCTGCTGCTCTTATTACCAATCACTTTTCTATATTTATTTCTATCAGAAGGACACATTTTCTAATTTATGTAAAGCTTGATGAATGGATATTATTACTTGTAAGACAGGGCTTCTCAAATATCTTTAGAACATTTATGTAGACAGCAATGAATGCATGTATACTCCTTAGATGTCTGTAGGACAGGAAGACATTTTTTTGAAGTATTAGGTTGATAATTCAAAATGTGAATTTTGAAATCTATTGCATACATTATAGCTGTCAGTCCTAAAATAAAAATGTTCTCAATTATTTACCATTATTTATTTCCCTTAAAACAGTCAAGCAAATTTGGTGCTCAGGAAATTGCAGTATCTTTATCATATAGTTCAATATTTTCCCAAAGCTGTTTTGAGAAATGTGGGATTAAAATTTCTTGATACTGTCAGCTTACTTTTGCAAGAGGCATATGGCATAATGACTAAGAAATGGAGGGAAATGCCACCAGACCATCTAAGTTCAAATCTCAGTTTCCCTACTAAATATTAGTTTTGTGATGCTAAGCAAATTACTTTATTTCTCTGTGCTGAAGGTTTCACATCTTATAAAGTGAAGACAATAGTAGCCTATTTTAAATTGGATAAAACACTTAAAATAATATGAAAAATACTCAGTTAGAATTAGCTTATTATTTATTATTATTATGTTAGGCATAATATAACCACTTTCATATAAGGAAAAGGAATCTCATTTGAAGGGTGACATTGTTTATTGTTTTAAACAGTAGAAGCTCTCTTAAACCACCTCTATCTACCATAATCAATGGTTTTTATTTTTTCTATCCAATTTACTGAAATCCACGAACGCTCGTAGCTAGTGGGATTTTCTTTAGTACATGTGTCCACTTCTGTTCCCATCCCTTACATGCTTACCAAAAATTAGGAGTGCTTGTTCCTAAACCTGTTTGTATCAGTTGTACTGCTATCATAATACAGAATTTAACTAAACAATATGTAAACTTATTAAATATAAGTGTAAAAAGAAAATGTGTTTCTGTGTAAAGTAATTGAAATACTAAGGGAAAAAAACGTGATAAAGGAGAGCCACTAGAAATTATCCAATTGTAGGTGAAGCATCTATAAATGGGTTGGGGGAAAGTCTGCAAATATCTGGAAGGATTCTGCCCACAGATTGCTCCATAAATGTCTCTAGTTCTGTTTCATTAAAAACCTGGGATGAGAAATCACAGATGATGCAGTTTGAGTGTGGTTTATACTACACATACCAGCCAGTGGACCTATGCTAAATAAAAGGCAAGCCATGTATCCATGCCCAAAAAAATGGTCAAGTGAAATGTTTCAATGCATATGGTTTAGACTTAAAATAAATTAAAGATATGTATATATCATTATTATAATGCCATTAAACACTGATCTTAATTTTTCTCTGCCAAAATTTTCTTCCCTTAAATAAGATGTTAATAAAATATAAATTCATGTATATCTGTTAGAAAAGAGAAAGTTTTCATGCATCAGACAAATAAAATGTTGAAATTGATACTGAAATTTTATAATTAAGCACTAGTTAACTCCTACACACAGAATCTATGTAGATATTGTTTATATTTCCTGACCATTCTTACATTCAGAGAAATTTATCCACTAATCAGTTATGTCTTCACTAGGATGAGTTTCTGATAGCTAGACTAGGGGAAAAAAAGGACGTTATATTAATTTCAGTTTTCTTCAAAGTATGAGGGTTTTTATTAACAAAATAGCTTACAAATGTTTATACACATAATTTTGGAAATTTCTCTCCATGTGTCCTAATTATCAACCTTGCTTATTATCATCAGTATAAATTCTGAATCTAATATGGGGAAAGAAGCTGACAAAATTTAAGGCTTTTGTGTACATAAATATTTATGATTATATTCTAAGACTTTTCATAAAGTAGCTCTAAAATTAGATTTTATATTACATAGTTATTTTAAATTTATATGTAAAAGGGAATTCTACTTACAATAATTTTGATTTCTTTCTGAGAGGTCTTTATTTTGAATTCCTTTTATTTTGAATTTACGTTGATTCTTCTCTTTTTCTATGGGATTTTCTCTTTTATTGATTACTTTAACCAATGTTCTTTGGTCCAATATACGTGATAAAAATTGTTTGATTTCATTTACAGATACCTGCAAAGAAAAAAGTTTTTGCTCATTTTTTTGGTGTAACTTTAAAAAAATAAAATAAAAAAGTGAAAATTCATCTATTCATGGCAAAAATACTAATTTAATGCAATCACACTAATTCCTGCTTTTTTCAAATCAAAATGACATATGACTTACTTCATTGTAAGAATTCATACCTTTTATGAATAAAAATCTTTTAAACCTATATTGCATTGTCATCTGAACTGCAAAACCAAGCATTTTTAAATCTTAAATGTTATAAATAAAATAAGAGAATCTAACCAATTTTACTCTTCTACGAGTGAGTTGTCATGGTAATATCAATTGTGTGAGCTTAAAAAAGATGAAAATGTTCGTATTGCCTGACACATTACAAGAAATTTATAATGGGTAGAATGTAAGAAAATCCTGTGACTGGCTAGAATAAAAATCTAAAGAAATGTTTTCCAAAAGTACTTTTCAGAAGTTGTATAATTCATCTGTTTTAATTAGGGAGAAGTTTTGGAGGAATTGTTTTTGAGTAATAGACAATAATTCATATTTTAAAAGAGAAAAATTAAAAAGCTTTAAGGGAATACAGATTCATGACACATACATACTTTTTCAGAGAAAATTATACTAGAAGATTAAAAAGAAATTATTTGTCAACTACTACTCCCCAATAGAGTCAAGGTTTTTATTTGCTTTTTAATTTTATTCAGTATCACAGTTTAAATTTAAATTCCCTCTTTCCAAGATCGCTTTCTGGAATGCTTAACATCTTTCTATGTGGTAACAAACACATCAGAGTAGTGACCCAGAGGCTGGAGCATGCAGGGACATGAAGCTAAGTAAGAACTTTTATTTATTTATCTATTTATTTGTTTAATTTATTTATTTTCAATTGCTTCTTTATTGTTAACTCTGTTCACTGTTCAGAATTTTCATACAGTCTTTCTAGAATCACACAAAATGTGTTAGATTAGCTCCCTCCCCATGGCATTCTATTTTATTTCTGACCATACTCCTCTTGTCCCTCGTCCTTATTTGTATGATATTTTGCCAGTGTCCCAGTAGTTCCCGGGGGTTGTTTATGTTTCTGGGAAAGGAGAGAGAAATGTGCTCAGCAGCCCTCAGCAAAGCCATGGGTTTTTATCCTGAGCCCTGACAGCAAGGACTTTTATTTTTAACAGCTTTATTGAGATATAATTCACATACTATAATTACAAATGTATATTGTACATTTAAAGTTATAATTCAATGGTTTTTAGAATATTCACAGATATGTGCAACCATCACCACAGTCAATTTTAGAACATTTTTACCGTCTCAAGAAGACGCCATGAATTCTTTAGCTGTTGCCCTCCCTATTCCTCCATTCCCTCTACTCCCAGTCCCAAGAAACAACTAATCAATCTATGTTCTGTTTCTATAGTTTCCCCTATTCTGGACTTTCATATGAACGAACTTGTGTGTAGTATGTGGGGTTTTGTAACTGACTTCTTTCACTTAGTATAATGTCTTCATAGTTGACCCATGTTGTAGTATGCATCAGTACTTCATTCCTTTCTATGGCCAAATAATATTCCTTATATGAATATATATTTTGTTCATCCATTTGTCTGCTGATGGACATTTGGGATGTTTCCACATTTTTTTTTTAAAACAGATTTTTTTTTTAAGATTTTTATTGGGTAATTGGGGGGATGGGAACAGCACTGGGGAATTGGGGGAAGGGGAACAGACAAGTTGCTGTCGTTTTGTTCTTCAATCTAGTTGTGGAGGACGCTGCTTCACTGGCCCAAGTTGGCACCATCATTGCGCTCTTCCCTGGCGAGGCAGATCAGTCGCCAGCTTCTGGACGGCCGCTCACTGCGGCTGCTGGCCGCTCACGCTGGCTGCTGGCTGCTCACGCCGGCTGCTGGCTGCTGGCTACTGGCTACATACAGTAGCCCATGGCAACCCACTGCCACAGGGACTGCAGCCTACGCCGTCGCCAGCGACTCACGGCAGCCCAGCTCCAGGTTGAGCTGTTGTTCAGCATCTTAGCTGTGGAGGGCAGTGTCACTGGCCCTCATATGTGGGATCCGAACCGGGGCCCTCTGGCATCCCAAGCGAGTTCTTAACCATCGCGCCACTCGGCCGGCCTGGGATGTTTCCACATTTTGCTATTATGAATAATGCTGCTACAAACATTCACGTACAAGTTTTTGTGCGGACTCTGATTGTGATTCTTCTTATTGTAAGGTGGCCAGGCTCAGCAAATAAAAATATGAGATGCCCAGTTATTATAAATAAGCAACATTTTTTAAAAGTACAAGTATGTGCCAAATATTGCATGTTAACAAGCAGACCCACAGTGTATAATGGCTCAAAATCAATAGACAGGTGTTCAAGTCAGTGTAGTTTTGCTCCATGCTGTCATTCAGAGTCTGAGGCAGATAGAGCCTGTGCCAGCTTCAATATGTGGATTCCAAGGTTTCCCTAAGTGTTGATATCAAGTGGACAGAAAGGGAAAGAGCATGGAAGGTCATGTGCAGAGAGGGCTTTTCTTTTCTTTTTTGGAAGAGATAGAGAATGTGGAAAGCTAGCAGTTATCTGTTCTCTGGCCATGACTCAGAGAACGCTATAAACAGAAGGGACCTGGAATTCCCATCCCCCAAAATTATGATACTTTTTGTACAGACTAAATATCTGACCCTACTCAGAATACAACTTATATTAAATAGAAAGTCTTATGCTTATTAAAAAGAAATTATTTCAATTCCAGAGTTATGTGGCTGAACCCCTTTTCTCTTGCTGATTGAAATTTTTTTTGGTTAAATTTTATAGGGGAACAGCCATGGTCATTACCTACATGTTGCTTTAATGCTACATTGGCATAGTTGACTCTTTTAGGGAGGGCACAGGTCACAGTGGCCCATGTGGTGATCGAACCGGCAACCTTGTGAAGCAGGATTTTTTGATGTGTGATTTTGTGTGTGTCCAGGATCATGGTCTTGCAGCACTGAAAAGTGGCTGAAAGCAATGTGTGCCTCTTCCAGATCTGGCCTATTAAAGAAAAGAAAACAGGCCTTTTGAGTTTCCTCCTTTGCTCGGCCCGCTCCAAACTCTTTGGAGTGTACCTTCTCTTTTAATAATGGCCCTTGAGCTATACTCTACTACTCAGGCCTGCTTCTGCTTCTCTGAAATGTATTTTTTCTTCTAATAAACTGTCCTTTTCTGCAACTTTACCTCTCTGGCTGCAACTTTACCTCTCTGGTCCATGTCTCCATTTCATGACAGCTTATTCTGGCTGCCGGCCACTCACGGTAGCTTACGGCAACCCACTGCAACTCCACTGCAGCTTACACCCTACTCTGGGGACTCACGGCAGCCCAGCTCCAGGTCGAGCTGTTGTTCAACATCTTAGCTGTAGAGGGCGCAGTGTCACTGGCCTATGTGGGATCCGAACCGGCTGCCCTGTTGCTCAGAGCTTGCGCTCCCAAGCCAACTCTTAACCAATGCGCCACTTGGCCAGCCCCTGACTCAAATTTCTAAAGAGTCACCCTGACTGCTGTGTGGAGAATGTTATATGTTGGAGAAAGGGTTGGGGAAAAGGAGGAGGTAATTAAAACAAACCAGGTGAGAGTTGACGGTGGTAGTGAAGTAAGAAGATAGTAGTGGGTAAGTGGTGATAGCTGTTGGTTGGGGATATATTTCAGAGACATTTCTGGCAGGAATTTCTGTTTAAGAACTTACAATGTATATTTTAGTTTTCAAACAACAATCCCAATGGAAGTATGTTTTTTAAATCCAAGTTTAAAGCTCATGCTTTAGAAGTATGTTTTTAAACTTCTAAAGCCCATTTATAGACTAGCTATAGCTCTTAATTGGAGTCACATGGTGTTTGAAAACCTCTTACCTAACCCTTTGCTTCTTCACTTCTCTTTATCTTGAAGATTCATGCTGGATGAGTTTTTCTCAAACATCCTTTTGAATATATCACTGCCCAACTCAAAAGCTCACAGTCCTCAGTGACAAGAGGATAAAATAATTTTCCTGGCACAGAATCTAAGATTCTTCATAGTCTGTCCTAAAAGAGTTATAGTAACCCTATTGCTTATTACTCCCACACTTACACAAATATCCATAATAGCTAAACTCTCCTCCCTGTTCCCCAAGTGGAATAGGATCTTTCCTACTTCTTTGCCTTTGCTTATATAGTTTTTATTGTCTCCCACCGCCCCGTCCTTTCCTATTAGCCTAACTATCATGCCTGTTCCCAGGCCCAACACAAGTTCATTCCCCCCAAGGTCTGCCCATATCACTCTGACCCACAGTGATCGCTTTCCTCTGATCCTGCGGTGTCGGCCTTCTTGGTTAGTAGTAACTCCCTGCTCTATAGTCTCTAAAGCTGAGATCATTCTACATGTTTCATGCTTTATCTATTCAATTAATTATATATGCTTTATGAACTTTTTACTGTAGTTCTTATTTCAAATAGTGTGTCTTGAGTAAAGGGCGAATGTAAAGGGCAGCCTTCTTTATTTTGGAGAAATCCCTTGTTTCCTTAGAGCACAGGAAAGGTAAGAGCATCCTCTCACAAAAGAAGCTAAATGACCTGTGGGCTTAGAGGAAAGAAAAAATGAGTTTTTCTCACTGTACATTTAATCCTAACTTATTTGTAGCTACATTCTACTTTTTGTGCCAGGAAACTTTTCTGAGATGGGACCCAGTCCTATGGTACTTTGCTTAAAGACAAAAACAAGCAAACACACAGAAACAGTACTGGGAAGCAGAACCCATTTTAAATAGCATTTTATTTAAAAAAGTAAACCTGTCTGCTAAGGCTAGAGATTTGACTTCAGGGTTTTACAGAGAGAAACAGATAACAGAGTTGGAGAGAAAGACCGTGGTTTACTTCTTTGTCCTCATCTCCCAGTGAGACTGTGGCAATAGAAGGGAGAAGGATAGCAACCACCCCAACTAGGACCAGCATATTGGGTTGTGGGAGAAAATGCTTGAGAGGGCTACAGAGGAAGGTCTCAGGAGACAGCTAGATTTCAGTTAAAATGAAGGTAAAGATAACATTTGGAGAAGTATGATCCCAAGATAGGTGATTAGAAAGAAAATAAGAGTCCAGGGGATGGAGAATCTACCCATTTTACAACCACATCTTGAATAAAGGGTAGTAGCGTATTTAATTATATCTGTAAACCTTTATTCTATTGACCACATGTAAAGCATTGCACTAAAAAAATATAAAAAGATACTTTCTTACCCTTCAGAAGCTTACAATCAAGTTTAAGCAATACCGAACAGAGGTTTCACAAGGCTAAAAAAAAAAAAAATGATCCTTTTGGGAATTCCAAATTCCAGTAACTGTATTTGGTACGTAGGAGGCACTGTATTGAATGAATGAGTGTACTGAAAATTTGTAATACAAAGATCTTTTAAATTTCAGTGGTCTTGCTTTTCTAATTTGTAAAATGGGATAATAATTAACATTTAAATAAACAATTAACATACTTCAAAGAAATATTAGGAGGAATAAATAGTATATGTGAAGGGGTTATCATAAAGTTTAAGTATTACATAACTGTAAGATACGATTCTGAAGATGAATTATGAAGTTTATAACATAAGTCAAGGTACCAAAATATGTTTTAAAAGTCAAACATCTATTGGAACAAGATGTTAGATTCAAAAACAAGAAGACTATGTCTGCTAAGGTGAAGTAGAGAATGGAACTCAGCACTCTGGGAACTCTGATGGAACTGCTCAATGCTAAGAGGCAGGCTACATTTTCCTTGTTTTCAGAGTTTCCACTGTTGCTCTTGGTGGCGGTGGTTGTCACAATGGCCCCTCAGCCATACACTTGAATTGCTCCCTTAAGGGGCCTTGGTTACTCCCCTGTAGTACATTAGATATGGGGATTGGTTTACCACATCTATGATCATGATCATTCTTTAATGCTGAAGGAAATAATACCCAGAACTACTGAAAATATTAAGTCCTTAACACAAGACTAAGTATCTTTAAACATTTTTTTAAAGTATGTATGTGTGTTTTTAAAAAGTGTGTGTTGGGGAAATTTATTAGATAATATTATTTTGTGAATTGTAGTTGTAAAGCCAGAAAGAGAAAACTAGGAAAAGAGCAGCTATGTTTAGAAGGGTGTTTAAAAATTTTAAATGCAGATAGTAATTATTATGAAGGATAACCAGAATTTATCAGGTCTTCAATGGGTGTAGAAATGGGGGGAGGGTGTTTTTAGCCAGATAGTATCCTATTTATTGCAAAGAATTCATAAAACAATATAGCAAATTTAGTTAAGGGAGTTTATTCTGGGTGTAGTGTAGCATGGATTGCATTAGAGTCGTTTGGGGCCTTTGGTCTTTTTACTTCTGCAGTCCAAGCTCCATGAGGTTGGTGCTAAGGAAGTTTAAAAACATAGACACTCCCAGTGGTATTAGGTGACATATACAGTCTACAAACAGGCCACCATGGCATGCTTCCCTCTGTCTTTGACAAGAAGATTATGCTTTATTTTCCAATATTCTGAGATCTCTTAGAATAGTTTGTAGTTTTCTTTTGTGCTAAGAGCTGGGGTCTTTTCCCATATATACTATATGGGCCTCATCTATTAATGCTGAGCATTGGGCAGGACACTTGTGGGTCTGAGCAGCATCCTTGATCCCAAGCAGTATGGAGTTCCTTGATTCTAAAAGGGGCTTTCATATGTCATTGGGCAGGCACTACATGTCACATGATACCAAGAGCCCACAAGGGAAGGCAAGATGACCTGATGAAAGTGATGTTCCTTCAGTCTCCACCTGCCAGGGGACAAACCGTGAGCTTTATGCCAAGGTCACTTGTATTTCTGTAGATAATACCACTGTTGATTGTGGGAGGTGGTACTTAGGATAATGAAGAAGAGCTAAACTTGGAGGGGTTTAGAGAATGTTGCAATGTAGAAAAAAGTTTTTGATTTATATAAACACTTTATCAAAGTTTACTCCTTTACTCTTAAGATTTATTTATTAATTCAATAAACATTTATTGAGTGCCTGCTTTGTGCCAGACACTGTTCTAGTTGCTGGGATAACTGCAGTGAAGAACAGACAAAACCCCCTGCTCTCATGGAGTTTATATTCTAATGAAAGGGCACTGACAACAAATGTAATAGAATACGGTATTGTGTTGTCGGAAAAGTCAGGACGCATGTTTGCGACAGATGGCACTAGTTCATTTTTGGAAGTACTAGAGTCATTCGCATCTATGTTATTTCTATGTCATTTGACAGCTGACAGTTTTAGCTTCATTCTAAAAAAAATTGAGCGATTTGGTTGAGTTTTGGAGATTTTACAAGTTGAAAATGGAAGACCAAACTGTGCATTTTTGTCATATTTTACTGTTTTACTTCCATAAAGGGAAGAATGTGCATCAAGCTTGTGAAAAGTTGCATAAAGTTTATGGTGACAATGCTCTACAAGAACGTCAGTGCTAATGATGGTTCATGAAATTCCGTGCTGGTGATTTTGATCTCAACGACGCTCCTCAGTCAGGGAGGCCCACCGAGGTTGATGGCAACAAAATAAAGGCATCGATCGAGTCAAACCCACGTTACACACAACATGAGAGATTGCAGACACATTGAACATCCATCATTCAAGAATTCACGACCACCTGAAGAAGCTGGGATATGTAAGCAAGCTCAATATTCGGGTTCCACATGAACTCAAAGAAGTTCATTTGATGGCGCATATAAACATCTGCAATATGCTCATTAAACATGAGGAAAATGATCCTGTTTTGAAGCGATTGATAACTGGTGATGAGAAGTGGATTGTTTACAACAATGTGGTGCACAAACGACCTTGGTCCCGACATGATGATTAGCCTCAAAAGACATCGAAAGCAGACATTCATCGGAGGAAGGTTATGCTCTCAGTGTGGTGGGATTTTAAAGCTGTCGTGTTTTTCAAGCTCCTACCAAGAAACCAAAAAATCAATTCAAATGTGTACTGTCGGCAATTGGACAGTTTGAATGAATCCATCATCCAGAAATGTCCAGAGCTTGTTAATTGTAAAGGAGTTGTGTTCCATCGCGACAACGCGAGACCACACACAAGTTTGATCACCTGTCAAAAACTATTGGAGCTTGGATGAGATGTGTTGCCATACCCACCGTAGCCGTCAGACTTCCACTTGTTTTGCTCTCTATTTAAAACTCCTTGCATGGTATATTGTTCAATTCCGACGAGGCTGTAAATCAGCACCTTGTTCAGTTTTTTGCAAATAAAGACAGGTCCTTCTATGAATGAGGAATTATGAAGCTCACTGAAAGATGGCAAAAGCTTACCAAACAAAATGGGCAATGTATCATTGATTGATCTTTGCTCTTTATATAAATAAATGACCTTTGAAAAACACAGACAAAATACATCATGACTTTCCCGACAACCTTATATGTTACATAGTGACAATTCTGAGAGGAAAAATACATCAGAGAAGGGAGATAGAGGGTGTTGTGATAGTGTTTGAAATTTTAGATAGAGTGATTGCAAATTTACAGAATATCCAGGGAAAGACTCTCCACAAAATGACATTTGAGCGGAGACCTTAAGGGAGTGACAGAAGGGAGTCATATGGATATATGGGCCCAGGGGCATTCCAAGCAGAAAGAACAGAAAGGTGAGTACATACCTTGAGTTTCTGAGGAAAAGCACAGAGCCAAGTGTGTTTAGAATGGTGTGAGTAAGGGACACAGTTGTAGGAGATGATGTCAGAGCAAAAACTGGTGCAGACCACAGAGTCTAATAGGCAAGACACTGATTTTTCCTCTGCGTGAGACAAGAAGCCACTAAACTGTTTCAAGTACAGGAGTGATTTGAAATGACCTACATTTACAGAATTATGTGGTTGCTGGGTTGAGAATAGACTGAAAATGTTGAATCCCTTACTTCCTAAATGTCAGAAGACATTGTAAGGTTAATAACTTTTAATAAGCACCTGTGACTCTGTAAGCCAGACTGCCTCTGCCTTTGTTTTAATATTTAGGACCTCAGACAGGTTATGGCTTATGAGAATTCTCAGACCTAATAACAGCCTTCCCTTCTCACAGTGGAATGAGTAAATATTTGTTTAATGAATGAACAAAAAATAATGATTGATAATGAAAAAACCAAGAACAGAAACCAAAGTCATTAATTACTTGTATAAGAATTCTGAACAGGCTGAATACATACTAATAACAGTGCCTAGAGCCTAAATTTTGTATTGGAAAAATACAATGATTTAGCAAAATATTTACCTGTGTGGTGACATTTCTTTCTTTTTGTTTTTTATTATGTTTTTCTGCTTCGATATCTGCAATACACAAAACATTTTTATAAAATTTGAAAAGAATTTCTTTTTAAAATTTCACTAAATACATTTCTTGTTAAATAACTTGCTAGATAATTTTTAGAACTCTAAGAAAAATGGTTGAAAATAACTTACAGTTTAAAGTTACTAATAATGTGTTACAAAATAATTCTTTCACTGATAATTTTTAAATATGTTAATGACATCAGAAATAATCTAAACACTTTAATCAAGCATCCTGAAATTGCGTTAACATGAAAGAGTTCTACAAATAATAAAGCTAATTACAATAGTGGAAAACTTTCTGAGCTAGAATTTAATTTAAATGTATCTATGCAAATACATGCCATCTATTAATAAAAAATATTAAAACAGGGAAGGAATACAATCTTTTATATTTTTATAGTCTCATCCATATGTCAGAGAGATGCTAAAAATTAATATAGTTGAATGATATAAATGTCAGAGAAATGTAGACTAGAATAATTACATCAGGCTTTGAAATTTGAGAAAATAATTTTCACAAGTAATTTTTAATAAATCTTTTTATAACGAATTGAATATATATGCTGTATAAAATACACATGTAATCATTGGTATATTTAATTTTTGCAGAGTACTTAAAATTTCTTAACTTATATATTTAGAAAATAAGTCTTTGAAAAATTGATATAATGGGATGACACATCATAGCATGTCAACTTAATTACATTATTAGGATTGATAATTTTTAGTTACAGAAAAATTATTTGATGCACATTAAAAATGACCCTATATATTTCCTGAAGTAAAACATGCATGAATGGGATACATTCACATTTTACAGACTGAAGAATTTGACTCAACACAAATATAGGGTAGTCAAAATTTTATTTTTCCAAAAGTCATGAGTTTGTACTTTAAAAGCAGGTTATGAATTTTCAAATGTTACCTCTGAATTGTATTTATTAATTTGATATGTTTTATTCATTCTCTCACTAATGAACTTTATTACTTGGCCTCACAGTTCTGTCTGTTCTGTTTACTTTGCACCCAGACCTTATAGAAACTGGCCACAGATTGTTTGATATTTAGTTTTTTGTCAAATTAGACAAACAATTAGCAAACTTTAAATAAAAATTAAATAACTGCAGATTGACAAATACATTAATATAAAGCATGTGAAAATTATACATATTTCATACTACTATATACATTAGGATTGCTTGTTAGGTTCAGGATGTAAAAGAAATTATGCCAGAATAGGAATGGTATTACAAATGAAACTTTAACCCAAGTTTGCCAAGTGATCATTTTGGGGCCATGGATAATCATTATCAGAGGAAGCATAGATAGCATCATGGTTCACCATGTGGCTTTTGAGTCAAACAAACCTGTGTTCTAGTACTGATTTTTTAACCTATTTCATTAATTTATGATAATCAAATGAGATAATCCATGTAAAGTATTTAGCACAGTACTTAACACATACTCAGTGTTTAATAAATGTTAGCTGTATACACATAATTATATGAGGCTCACTTTGTTAAAGGATTTAAGATGCCTTTAAGATAATATATATATATATATATATATATATATATATATATATATATATATATGTAAATTAGTCTCATTCCTATTCTGGAAGAATGTCACAAGAACCTTTCTCACCTACCTGGGTAAGGCGTCATCTTACATCCACCCCATGGGGCTGGTCCACTTAATATTATTTTATATTAGTTTCAAATGTACAGCATATTGGTTAGACATTTAAATAATTTAAGAAGTGGCCTCCCTGACTAGTCTAGTTCCTACCTGGCACTATGCATAGTTATTACCATATTATTGACTATATTCTCTATGCTTTACATGCCCATGACAATTTTTTTTAATTAAAGTTTATTGGGGAAAAAAAAAAGTTTGGGCCGGCCGAGTGGCTGAGTTGGTTCGAGTCCCGGCCTGAGCTGAGCTGCCGCTGAGCTGCCAACAGGTAGTAGGATAGCTCAGCTAAAAAAAAAAAATGTTTATTGGGGTGACAATGGTTAATAAAGTTACATAGGTTTCAAGTGTACAATTCTGTAATGCATCATCTATATATCACGTTGTGTGTTCACCACCCAGAGTCAGTTCTCCTTCCTTCACCATATATTTGATCCCATTTGCCCTCGTCTACCACCCCCCTCCTCCTTTACCCTCTGGTACGACTAAACTATTGTCTATGTCTATGAGTTTTTGTTTCTTTGTTTGTCTTGCTCCTTTGTTACTTTCAGTTTTATATCCCACATATCAGTGAAGTCATATGGTTCTTGACTTTTTTGTCTGTTTATTTTGCTTAGCATAATAATCTCAAGATCCATCCATGTTGTTGCAAATGGCACTCTTTCATCTTTTCTTATGGTAGAATCATATTCTATTGTGTATATATACCACATCTTCTATATCCAATCATCTATCGAAGGACACTTTGGTTGTTTCCAAAGTCTTGGCCACTGTAAATAAAACTGCAGTGAACATTGGAGCACATGTATCTTTACAGATAAACGTTTTCAGATTGTTTTGGTATATACCCAGGAAAGGGATTGCTGGGTCATATGGTAATTTTATTCTTAATTTTTTGAGAAACCTCCACACTTCCTTCCATAGCAGCTGTGCCAACCTGCATTCCAACCAACATTGTATGAGGGTTCCTTTTTCTCCACAGCCTCTCCAACACTTGTTATTGTTTTTCTTGTTTGTGATAGCCATTCTAACTGATGTGAGGTGTTATCTCATTTTGGTTTTATTTGCATTTCTCTGATGATTAGTGATGTTGAGCATCTGTTCATATGTCTATTGGCCATCTGTATGTCCTCTTTGGAGAAATGCCCGTGACTGTTTTTAACCACCACTTCCTACTTCTTAATCCCTTCACCTTTTTCACCCTGCTCCCAACCCCCCTCCCATCTATCACCCTAATAAATCTAGTACCCATCTGACACCAATAGTTACTATAATATTATTGACTATATTTTTTATGCTGTACCCTACAACCCTATGATACTTCATAATATCACATTTGTACTTCTTAATCTCTTCCTCTTTTTCACCCACCCCGAAACCCCCTACTGTCTGGCAACCATCAAAATGTTCTCTATATCTATGAGTTTGTTTCTATTTTGTTTGTTTATTTTGTTCTTTAGATTCCACATATAAATGAAATCACATTGCATCTGTCTTTCTCTGTCTGACACACTCCAGTCAGCACAATACCCTCTCAGTCCATTCATGCCATTGTCAGTGACAAGAACCCATTCCTTTCCATGACTAAGCAATATTCCACTGTATATATGTACCATGTCCTCTTTATCCATTCATTCATCGACAGACACCCAAGCTGCCTCCACATCTTGGCCATCGTAAACAATGCTGCAATGAACATACAGATGCACACATCCCCTTGAATAGCATTTTGGAATTCTTTGGATATACCCAGAAGTGGTATTACTGAGTCCTTTGTCATCTCTGGTTATAGCCTCTGTTTTATCTGGAATAAGTATTGTTAACCCAGCTTTTTTTTTTTTCATTTGCATTCTCCTGAAATAACCTTTTTCATGCTTTTAGTCTGTGTGTCTTTTGACCTAAAGTGAAGTCTCCTATAGACAGCATATGTAAGGGTCTTGTTTTCTTATCCATTCAACTACCCAATCTTTTGACTGCAGCATTTAATCCATTTATATTTAAAGTGATTATTGATAGGTACATAGTTATTGCCATTGTATTACTCATATTTTTTATCTTTTTTTTGTTTCATTTTAAAGAAGTCACTCTAACATTCCTTGTAATACTGGTTTGGAGGTGATGGACTCCTTTGGCTTTTTCTTGTCTGGGAAACTCTTTATCCTTTGAATCAAAATGATCACTTTGCTGGATAGAGCAACCTTGGTTGTAGGTCCTTGCTTTATGTCACTTTGCATATTTCATTTCAATCCCTTCTGGCCTGCAAAGTTTCTATGGAGAAATCAACTGACAGTCTTGTGGGAGCTTCCTTGTGGGTAACAGGCTTTCTCGCTGCTTTTAAGATTCTTAGTCTCTAACCTTTGGCATTTTAATTGTGATGTGTCTTGGTGTGGGCCTTTTTGGGTTCATCTTGTTTGGGACTCTCTGTACTTCCTAAGCTTGTATGTCTATTTCCTTTGCCAGTTTACAGAAGTTTTCCATTATTATTTCTTCAAATAGATTTTCAATGCCTTGCTCTCTCTCTTCCCCTTCAGTTACCCCTATGATGTGAATGTTGGTACACTTGATGTTGTCCCAGAGACCACTTAAACTATCCTAATTTCTATGGATTCTTTTTTAGTTTTTGCTGTTTTGATTGGGTGTTTTCTGCTACCTTAGCCTCCTCAGAGGGGCCCCACTGCAGACCAAATTCAGCCACAGCCTGTGTCCTACCCATGGACACCTGGCATGAGCCACAAGGTAATCCACAGATGGCTGCCACCTGCACTGGTCTTGGAGGTGCCTTGAGAGGCCCAGCTGCAATTGAGGCTGGCTGCCTCTAATGACAGGCTTGAGTTGCTCAGTAAGAGGTACAGGACACATCAAGGCCAGATGCTTCTTGTTTGGGTTTTGTGAACCTTCGAGAGATTTTAGGAAAGTGCAGCATAAGCCAAGACATGCCCTTTGTGTGGAAGAGCCACTGGAAGTGGTTTGTGTGAGCCTAAAATCTGGGTGGGGCAGGGTCTCAGGAAATCACCAGGGCAGGGTGGACAGTGTCAGCTAGGTTGATGGAGACTCAGATATGGCAGCTCCTTCTGGCTTCATGCTGGGAGGGGTTAGAGCTCAACAAAAAACTAACAGATTCTGCCTGCCCTTCTGCCTGGGACAAAGCTGCCCTTCCAGGTCTCACCCTAAAACCAGACAACCCAGTTCTTCCTGGTATGGTTCTGGCACCTTTGAGGTGCTGCCCCAGTCATGGAACTCAGAGCAAGTGAGTCTGTCAGTGAGTAAGTCTTTGCATGGGCCCTTTAAGAGGAGCTCCTGGG